TTGTTAATTCAAACATTTTAAATCCATTAATAACAAAATTTTGCTATTTGTAAAGATTATTGTTTTCTGTCATTTTAGTTGGTCAATAATTGTAGCGGCTTCTTTATTTTGTATCCACGTCCTGCTCATATTTTAATGTTTGAGTTATCAGATTTTCAGAGTAAGTTTTTATCCATTTATTTATCTTTTCTAAGAAATCGGGATAGGACTATTATGTTTTGGAATTTTATTCATCTTTTTTGGTGTCATCTTCATGTTCGATTCTGGGCTCTTGGCCCTTGGCAATGTTAGTTGCTCTTAGCATAATATTTCACCTAGTTAATGCTTTTGGCAGGCCTTGCCTTTTTAGTAGGTGCTCAAAGATGTTTTGCATTATTTTTTCAACGACATAAACTCAGAGGAACTTTGTTCTTTATTGGAGGTATCTTTGCTGTCTTTTTGCGATTCCCAATCATCGGAATGATTTTGGAGACTTACGGGTTTTTTCACCTTTTCAGGTTTGTTTTATTTTTAAAATTTAGGGATTTCTATTTTTCTTCTATGAACCCGATTAAATGCTTCTAATCAATAATCTGTTACATTTTGTTGAAAATTGTGAATTCATATATGGATTTTCTTTTTACTTGATCTAACTTTCAATGTTATTACTTTGTTTCACATACTTCAGGGGATTCTTTCCCGTCATTATCAGTTTTCTCTATCGTATCCCTATTATCGGTACTATACTTTATCTTCCCGGCATAAACAAGGTAATTCAAATTTTTTTATATTTTGCTCGCTTAACATTGCTTAAAATTCTAGTTATTTTATATGTGAATGTATGGGAACTTTGGTTCTCTATTATATTCTTATTTTCTTTATTTATTCCCACTATTGCGTCATCTCTTGAAGATATTACAGAATATTTCTTATTCTAAGTTATGAATTTTTACTAACTGTTTAATGTAGATCCTTATGCTTTTCTCAAAAAACAATTTGTAGGTAGTGAATCACCTTGCAGGGAGCTCGGATTCAATCGTCTGATGTGAATCTAAAAGATATTCAAGTCTTGTATAGCTTGAGACTTTTCCTTACTTTATGTACAGATAAGTATGATATATATGAGATTTTACTTTTTAGAAATGCCTTATACTATTTATCCTGGATGTGTCGCCATTTTTTGCAAGGTGGTTGTGACCCTTTCACGATGCGTTTTGCAATAGGCCATTCTCACTTTGGTGAACGAAAATTTTGATTTTTACGCATTTAAATAGTAAATTTTATCTACAATTCTCATTGTTTTTTTTATTCCTTACTGATGTGATTTTCTAGCGTCGATTGAGCTTTATCTACACATTTTTATGTTGCTCAAAATCATAGCATATTATCCATTATTGTTCCATGGTTTTTGCGCACAACCTCACTCTTCCAAAATACCTAGGTTAATTTATTACGCTATTTTCACTCTAATAGCACATTTGATT